TTCCTCAAAGGAAAATAAGTGGAGATAAAAGGCTGAAAGATTATCTTTTTTTACTTTTATTTAGTGTCAGACTTCAAACTCCTCAACATTAGCTTAGGTACTGCATTTCTGAAATATATACATTTATTTGTTTGTTTATTTATTTGCTACGGATCAAAGTGAGGCTATCACACTTGCTAAGTGAGCCCTCCTCTGCTCTTCTCCGCACTTGCTAGCAGGCATGTGGACCTCTCCAAACCACTGTGAGCCATGGCCGGTAGGCCTGGCGAGAGAGGTGAGGTCACAGACCGTGCTTCCTAGGCCGGGATTTTTATGACCTTTTTACAGGTTTAAGGCAGGTGCTCCAGAATGCGAACGTGGCTTTTTTCATGGACAGCTCTAAAAGCAGTGGACACTCTTTTCTCTCCCTAAATGAAAGAGGAGCAGTAGCACACAGAGAATGGAAGATTAGGGGCTTCTTCTCAAAGAATAGAAAACGTAGGAACACATGTTCTAAACTTCAATTTGGATCCCAAAATGCAAATAATAGTAATATTTTCCTTCCATGCAAATAATCTGGCTTACTGAATTTATGAAAAAGTATGATGGTCAACACACTTTTATTGTTTTTAGACAATGAAAATAGCATTAAAGTTGTCAATTTATAAAAGATTATAGAAACAAAAAGTTAATAGCAAAGTTTATGTTGTTGGTTATATGTGACAAGAGCTCAGAGAAAGGGAACACTGATGGCTGGGGGTGCAGTTCAGCGCAGGGTGTTTGCACAGGCCGTGGGCTCAGCCCCTGGCACTACCAATATATAGATGGATCAATAAAAGGTATGTATGTAAATGCATGGCAATATCAATGAGCAGACATGAAGTACTATTTCGTCTCTTTCTCCAAACAATTAAGATCTTAGAATCACCCTAGCAAAACAAAAATCATACTACTTCTGTTATTATCTATACTATTGGACAAGGCACTGAAGGTACAGAGCAGCCTTTAGTTCTCTCTTCTATAAAGCAACGAAAATCATAATTTCTTTTTTATGAGTTCGTTATGAGAATGAATTATAATTACATGGACTTTGTGTTGGCCCAAGGATTAGTGCATGCTGAGAGATTGGTTAAAAAGCTGGGTTGTTTTTTTTTTTGTTTTGCTTTTTTGTTATAAGTACCTGCTCTAGAATCTGGCTTCAAGAATGTTTCTGTTTAACCTAGCATGTTTCTGAATTTAAAAATTTCTCAATCTGCTGGCAAAGATGTTCTTGTTTTAAAAAAGCAACTTTGGTGTTCTATTTCAAAATAGGGTGACTGTAGTCAACAATAATGCATTGTATATTTCAGAAGAAAGAAAAAACATGTAAGGCAACGGATGTGTTAATTACCCTGGTATTGTGTGTGCACAATGTTTGTGTCAAGAATGCAATTAAAATGTACTCCATATTGGACATCACTGAGATATGATTAATTGATGTAGATCAATAAGAATTCCTAATAGATAAGACTAATACATTAATAAAACTTAGGAAACTGAATATAGAAAATAATTATCACACCACAATTCAGTTTTTGTCATATGATACTAAAATTTAACATTTAATTTTATTAACTCTCCTTGATCTATTTTTTCATTCACAAAAAGATTCAGAGAAAAGTCACATAAACAGGTCTTACTGTGATTATCAGGAGCCATAGAATATCAATTCTTGAATGAGGCAGTATAGAGACTCAAAATTTCACTCAGTGCTTAGTGGACCTTATACGTTTTTGCCTTTTGCTATAGTGGACATGAACTCTTTTACATAACCTCTTTTTCCAGGACTGTTTATTTATTTTCTCACTTGAATTTGATGTGCTTGATACAGGGTGTCACTATGCATTTATTATGTATTTATTTATTTTGTTTTTCTGTATTTAGTACAGAGTCTACAGGATCTCACTACACAGATCGGACTCGTAGTGCTCCTTCCTATTTTTCAGTCTCCCAAGCGCTGGGATTACAGGCACACGCCATCACACCCAGTCTCAATTGCTGTCTCAGCAAACTCCAGTCTCAATTGCTGTCTCAGCAAACTCCAGGGCAGGGCTGGCACTGCATGCGGTACTGGGAATCAAACCTGAGTCCCTGTGCTTGCCTAAGCGGGTGCTTAGTCTGCTGAGCTATCTCATCTGCCCGGGACTTCTCTTTTAAATCACTTACTTTTTATATTTAGTCTTATTTACATCTGTATGGTTGAGTAACCACTGGCCTATGGACATTGCCACTGAAATTCTGACAAAATTTTATATCAGTCTTTCTTGTGCCCATGAAAATTTCTTATTCTTTACTAAATTGTTTCTTTACAGTGAGCACAGTGGAAACATTGGCAGTAATCTTTCCACTTACTCATAGCAGTATTTTTGGAGATTCATGGCACAACCTCAACTCTATAATTTTTAACTCAGTATTAACATTATTGTTTTATAACAGACATTTGTTCATGGAATTTCTGCTGTTTAAACACAGTGACCATGGTGTCCTAATCAAAATTTGAGGTGTGTGCTCTAGCCTCAAATATATTTTTCTCTAATTTAGCAAATTACTTAAATGAAAAAATGATCTAAAAGCATAAACATCAACTAATATTTAAATATATTTGGAATTATGTTTGTTCTAAGGAATAGAAGTTTTAGTGCCCTATGAAATGCAAATGACATGGCCAGATGTCTAGCAGCTTTTATTTCTTTGTCAACGTGCTGCTGTCTAAACTTCTCTTTAAAAATTGAAGTTATTGTAGACATTCAATGCAACAATAGCTTCCGTGACTTTATAACAACTAAGAAGAAAATAGTGTGAAATAGTTCTACTTGGTGTTTGCCAGGTACGTTTTCATTTCATTCACTACTCAGGATAATCTATTGTGAACTAAAAGAAATATCCGGTGTAGAATAAATATAAAAACAATTTTGAAAATTTAGAGTTCAAAGCAAGTAAGACAGCCTCGATGCCACCATCACCTGTCTTCCTGTTGTGATCTAGGTCCTGAACCTCTTCCTGGCCTTGCTGCTGAGCTCCTTCAGTTCTGACAATCTTGCTGCCACAGACGATGACAATGAAATGAACAACCTGCAGATTGCTGTGGGACGGATGCAGAAAGGAATTGATTTCGTGAAAAGAAAGATACGCGAATTTATTCAGAAAGCCTTTGTTAGAAAGCAGAAGGCTTTAGATGAAATAAAGCCCCTGGAAGATCTAAATAACAAAAAAGACAGCTGTATCTCCAACCACACCACTATTGAAATAGGCAAAGACCTCAATTATCTCAAAGATGGAAATGGAACCACCAGTGGCATCGGCAGCAGTGTGGAAAAATACGTTGTCGATGAAAGTGATTACATGTCGTTTATAAACAACCCCAGCCTCACCGTGACGGTACCAATTGCTGTTGGAGAATCCGATTTCGAAAATTTAAATACTGAAGAGTTCAGCAGTGAGTCCGATATGGAAGAAAGCAAAGAGGTAGGAATTTTTGAATGTGGAGATATTTTGATAAAATATATTTTGTTGCTTTAAAACTGCTAGATATTTTCAGATTGTGTGTCTCCTTACCATAAGAAAATAGAACATATTTGATACATTTTTTCTGTGGCAAAATAGGATTAATAAAGTAATAATAGATTAAAATATAATTAGAAAAATGATGTCTTCGTATGATTAAATAATCACTTTTTGAATTCTTGATAGTATACATATGTGGATTCATACCAGAAATTCTAAGTATTTTTAAAACACTTTAGATTTATGAACATGCCTCAGTTTGTGTGAACCTTTTTTCCTTATGGCAGTTTTTATATGTGGTATTTTTTTATGTGCCAAAAAAACTTAATGGGAGCTAGTTTAAATTCTCATCATAAGATACTGCATAAATGTGATTTTATTTTGTTTTCCCAGACATATTAACTCAAAAAATTATGACTAGGTTTGGGCTCAGTGTGTGTGTGTGTGTGTGTGTGTGTGTGTGTGTGTGTAGGTTTCTGCTTCCTGCAGTACATGATTTTTTAAGAAAAAGAAGTGTATAATAAGGAATGAGAGTAAACATGTTTTTAACTCTACTTAGCCAACTGAAGTAGAAACCTTAATGTATTACAGGATATAAAATTCTGGGTTTATTAACCCAGTAAGGATTGAGCCTTAAACATATACGTGCTAGGGTATGTCTTTTTTTTATGAGCAGGATATATTTATTGAGAGAAAGAGAGCTCCTGTCCAAGAGGGGGAGAGGAGGGGGGCCTGAGTGGGTAGTTTCCCAGGGTATGTCTTTGGTTGGTTTGTTTGATATGAACCTGCAGATTACAAAACTCTGAGTGCAAGAATAAGTAAGAAAGGGGAAGAAAAAGAATAAAAAAGAAAGAATCCAAAATCTTAACAAGTAATTTTTAATTATATTAAATTAGAAATTTGCAATACTTAAAGATTGCAAAAAGCAACAAAGATAACACGTCTTTTTATTTGAACTATTTTTATAGACACTTAAGACTTTTATTATTTTTCTTAGTCTAAAAATGATAGCTTAGAATTTGAAGCATTGAAATGTACAATTTAAGAAGCATAACATTATCATACTAATTAGAGATTGAGGAGAGGCATACTTCAGAGAAGGGAACAGTCGAGTATTTCAGTCGCTAGCCCTATATTTATTTGATATGACTGAGAAAGTGCATGATATTTTCCCTTATTCATTATTGATAGGTACATTGTATTGCTAATTTAATGGTTAGGGAGAAATAAATGCTAAACATGAAATCTAGGCAATGTTTAAATATAGACACTAAAGAGTAAGATACAAGTAACAGGGCCATAGTTAACCATTTTCACAAAATAACCTATGAAATTTAATGGAGAAGTAGTGAAACATTCAAGCCTTGTGTAAATAATAACTGCAACTATGTGAACTCAAAGTGTTTACTAGTTGGATTTTTTTTTCTGGTTCTGGGTATGAGCAAGTACTCTACCACTAAGTTGCATTTCCAGCCCACTAGTTGGACTTTCATTTAAAGATTGAATAATATCTTAAATTCTTTAAGAGCTAAAGTTATAAATATACTTATTTGGTTTGTACACCTTTTTGGTCCTGTGTATCACTAGAAGTGGAGGTCAATATTTAAAAAATAGAGTTCAGTCATTAGAATTTTAAGCCATACTTTCTTCCTATTATTTTGACATTATATCTGATACTGGCTATTTTGCCTGAGGTAGAGAAAAAGTCAACTTTTGTTTTGAAGAAGGTTCAGGGTTTGAGTATTGCATAAACTAAGTTAATCATAAAGAACCAAATGTTGAGGTTGTTATCTGCTTTAGTCTTTTAGGTAAATTTTACTGCTCTTTGATGTATGGTTAACCTGACACTGTCTTCTTAAGTTTCAGAAATCTTAAAGCCTTTAGTTTTTCAGTAGAGCACATAGTTAGCCTCACCTCAAACTATTACATTTAACCTAAGACATGTTCAATAATGTGGATATTAGGGCTGGCAAGATAGCTCAGCACACTAAGCATCTGCTTAGGCAAGCTCAGGGACCGGGGTTCAATTCCCGGCACTGCATTCCATGCCAGTCCTGCCCTGGGTTGTGCTGAGCTGGCCAGCGCTGGGGAGGCAGAAAACAGGAGGATCACTGTGAGTCTGAGCTGTGTAGTGAGACTGTGTATCAAATACAGAAAGAAAGAAAGAAGGAAAGAAAGGAAGGAAGGAAGGAAGGAAGGAAGGAAGGAAGGAAGGAAGGAAGGAAGGAAGGAAGGAAAAAGGAAGGAAGGAAGGAAGGAAGGAAAGATGAAATTACAGTAGGGAATCCAGTGTTCTTATTTTTTCTTATTAGCAGTACGGTTTCTTGTTTTTATTTTTTCTGTTTGAGTTACTCTTCAGTTAAATGCTCCAAAATAATAGTGTGGACTTGGTATCTATTTTGAAGTTAGAAGCAGATAATTCACCTATTCATTGGAAGTGGAGAGAATTATTTAATTGAGTTGCACTTTTGGTATCATTTTACCCTTATGTTGAAGTTTATTATGTGGAGAAATTGTTATACATGGCTTTATAGCAAACTTTTAGACATAAATTAGAAAAGTAATAAAGGGTTAAATTCACAGTTTAGGAAAGAGCTACATCCATATCTATATTGATATTTATCTCTGTATCTGTTTTGATCTTTCAGAATTTTCCTTATATTTCTACACTAAAAAATGATAAGGAAAATTGGAACAGTTATCTGAGAATTTTAAATAACACCCTTTAAATACCTTTCTAGTGTCTGCTTTCTGGTCACTTTATGTTTGGTCATTTTTTAAACAGATGATTGTGATTTTGCTGCTTATCATCAAGCATAGAATAGTTAGAAAGGATGGGAGATACTATTGTTTCATTCTAAATGATTTCTAAAGTTTAGGGAACTTCCTTCTAAAATGCTTAAGGGAATTTCTTTCTATAGGATGCACTAAATGAAAGGACTCAGAATCCGTTTGTTGAGGTGTTAGAACTAAGACCCCCTCTAGGTCTCTGTGAGCTTATGAGGCTCTCTCTGTTAGCTTTCTGGAGTTCTCTGGAGTACGTCCCTTAAACGCATATCATAATCATGCATGCTTTAGCTCTTCATGTGCTAAGTTGGCTGTAGTAAATGTAATTCCTTTTGTGATTTTGATTGACTGACTTTCCTTTTAGAGTTTTGAATAATGTTGAAGCCATGCTTGAATGATAATTTGTTCAAAGTAAAATTGAGGAGTGTAATATGGTGACCTTCACTGCTTACCATTCTTCTCACAGGGGTAAAACCAAGCTGGAGCCATCAAGAAAGCAGCTCTGGGGTTTTTTAACCAGCCAGAGGCTCGTGCCACCACTTTTACCCAGGTTACCCAAGCAAGTTGTGTATATCTCTCTCTAAATATAAGCAGTCTCTAAGTGCCCTTTGACTGGCCTGCATGCTACTCAGCTATGTTCCTTGCCCATCCATTGGCAGTGAAATAAAAACATGCGCAGCTGCTACGAGGCTGAGTCAGATGAAGCATGGTCGGGCAAGTCTGACGACTCTAACTTTGAAATATGTATACATACATTTAGCTGCTGTTTTTGTTACGTAGATTCTGAAAAAAATTACATTCAATGAAAAGTAAAAATGCATGCCTTTGTGGGTTATTTAATTTTTGTTTAGTGTTAACAGAGCCTAAAATATACTAAGAATCTAGAGAGGAGTTACTGCTCTTTGAAAACTCTATCACAAAAACCTTTCTCTCCCCTGAGTCTTCTTTTTTTCTTTATAAACATAATCGCAGTGTACTTTGGGGTAATTTTTTTTGTTCAGTGTCATATTAAGGTTTTCTGAAGGGAAATCTGAAAATTAAAGCAATCTGTTACTCATTTATAAATTTTCTACATGATGTTCTGTAAATTAATCAGAATGCTTATGTTTTGGCAAGTAGGAGCATGACTGTAGTTTCTTATCTGCTTCATCTTATGGAAAAGAGCATGATTTCAGGTAGCAACTGTCTAAAAATATTTTGCAATAAAAATGACTCCCTTGAAGATTTTGTTTGTATTGAATCCTAAAATTTTTAGTGTGACAGAAAATAGAATGAATTTATTTTGCACAACAGAAAACAAATAAGAAAAGGCACACATCAATCTTTAGGTAACATGTTCATCCTGAAATAGACCTGGAAGCCTCTTCCTCCATCCTCCCCTGCTGGCCACTCTGTCCATTCTGAGTGGACAACCTGCTGAGCAACTTTGTTCCGAAGCACGTTATTTTCATATATCACATTACTCTATTCTTACTCAGGAAGAACTTCATGAGATGTTGTTCCATTGATGTTTTTAAAATAAAGGGAGCTCCCTTATATGTGACTACAGCAATGGCTCTAGCACCACTCTGTGGGCTTTGTTTAGTGGACCATTCACTATCTGATGCTGAAGTGATGGTTCCAATGTAAACTACATTGTTCCATCCAATTTGATCACCCTTTTGAGAAATATTAATCACTTTGCCAATAAGTTTCCTCTCCTCTTGCATTAAAATATAAAATGATACTAACATAAAATAGCGTTTGGCTTTTTGAAAGAAGCAACCATTATGTCATTCTTGCAGTGTTCTTTTTTAATTTTTTATTCATTTTAATGAGAAAAAGTAGCAATGAAAGAGTTTCAAAACAGGTTAGTAGGACAGTTACAATAATGAATACATGGCATATTGTCTTCGTAGTAGTTATTAAGAGGACAAGATGCAGACACGATCTCTTGTCTAAACAATATTAGGACAAACCTTGTGAACTAAGCAACTACACTGAAGATAGCAATGTAATACTAAAACCATGCTTGAAATACCTATCATTTTGGTTTTCTAAATGTGTACCTCTTCTAATGTCATATCAATTAGTATTCTTTCATAGTTTGTATCAGAATATTCAGCCACTAGTACTCTAGATTCATGAAAGATAAGGATTTATGTATGGAAGGAATGGTATTCTATAAAAATGAG